GGAAAGAAAGTAACCTTTTTATAGCAAGGGTAAAAAAGAAATCTTATAGTTACCAAATAAATGCAAGAGTTGATAGAGCTTTTACAATCAATACTCAACTAATTCTTATAAAAGGAGCACCGCAATGTTAGCAATAAGTTTTTTTCTTCTGTAATGACTCTACATTATCTAATTGTTTCCCTGTGCCTACCAAACATTGTCCGTGTTTGTAACAGAATTTAGAAGAAGAATCTGTAACATGCAGTACTAATGGATATTATAATTATCATTTTACTTTCATTATTTCTAATCAGAGATTGTGACTTTATTTCCTTTTAGTTCTGTTCTATAATCTTTATATTGTATATTGCCTGAATAAGTCCATATTTTTTCCAGTTGAATTTTCTCCTATTATTTGCCTAAAACTACATGCTCTTTCTCTGTATACATATGGGACATGACTGAGTATCAATAGATTGATCTGTAATTAACATCAATAGACTGAATCTGCAATTTTATATTTGAAAAGAAGTCTAAATATGTCATCTTCAAATACTTTCTTTATAAAGAAGCTCTACTACCATTTTGCAAAAACAATAACACAAAATATGCATTATGTCCCTTTAAATTTAAATCTTCATTTCAATGTTATTCACATAGCCTTATGGTCACATTAAATAATAGAATCATAAATTGCAAACAAGTATTAACATCGTGCTGCATAGCTTGGTCAAACACACCCATAATTTCTCTGTTCATTTTCACATTTCTTCTGTGTTTCTGAAACTAAAATTTTATTGAGACTTGAAACTGGTAGTGGTTTCCCCAGAAAGCACATTATGTAGTTATTTGTGAGAAGCAAAGTACTTGCTAATGACAAAGTAGTAAACCATTTTCAAGATGAAAATTGATTTCTGTTTATTTTCCTTCAAAGGTCCTGAAAAAATAAGCAATTATCATAACAATGTGTTATTGATAATGGAGGTTTCATTGACATGTCTCTCAAATTAAAGCTCACACTGCCTCCATAAAAGTCCTCAACATTTAATTTATAAGCTTTAGAAGTATTTATTTTATAAGGCTTAGACAGAATTACTGGAGTTTTAAATGAAGGATCCTGGGAAAGAAAGGATGGTATATGTACGAAATGTTAAGGTCCTACGCAACACTGCTAAGTTTTTTGTTTTGTTTTGTTTTTCCTTTAATATTTGTGCTGCATAACAGAAGCCACTAGACTGTTACTGTCTTGTCTGTCCTTGTGTTAACAACATTCTCAATGATGTATATATAGTGTGGTCTTCAATCATAAAGAGGAATTTAAGAGAAAGTCAGTTGTGTTGGCATTTTTAATAAGAGTAAAATTACTTGGTCTAAGGACCAGCTGGCGACATGCTGGTTACACGCACAAGTGCTTTCTCATTCAGGTTCTTATTATGGAAGAGTTGATTTGAACCTCTGAAATGACGATCAGTTTTTAACATCTGTTGAAAGCAAAACGCTATGTTCTCAATATTGCCGATTTAGATGACTTTAAAATTAGTCATTTAAAATATTTTTAATCAGCTACATCTTAAATGATGTTATAAATAGTTACGCAGGTCCAAAAATATTCACACATTTATGGTCTCACCAGTGGTCCTTCATTCTCCCCAAATTCACTGTCCCACCCAATTTCCAGCTGTTTTCTTTTGCAGATTACATGTGATTCTTCATTCTTAAGAGTATATTTTTTAAATTATGAATAACGTTTTGTGATGATTTCCTTTTTTCAAATTTATTCATGGCTTGATATAATGTTTTGGATTTTTTTCTATTGATAGCATCAAAATATATATATTTTCTGAGACTGTCAGTCAAAATCATATTTGTTACCTTCTAGAAAGACATTGAAATGGCTTTTTTCTTGCTTGTACTTTTTCTCTCTGCTTTATATGCTCTTCACAGCATGTCCAATGGGATATTTATTATCAGTGATGCCCAAAATTAATGACAACAAAAAGATACCCACATGTGAAAATATTGATAATTATTGTGAAGTAGCATTGTGAAGTAGCTTTGTGTCACTTTTATCAATGACATCAAAGCAAGCCAATTTATTCTATTGAAATTAGCTCAAAAATAAGTAAAATCTCTTAAGTAAAATACACAGAAGAATCACCTAATCTTCAGTACACTGAGTCACTGTAATATACTAATTTTATAATTTATGAAATTAAAATTTCAAACATGTTCATCTTATCTACATCCTATTGAAAGCATTTATAATAGTTAGTAATTCTAATGTCAGGGTTGACTTTCTCTTTCTGAATGATTTCACAAAGATCAGTGTGAATTTTGAAGACCTATGGTACTAATGATTGTATCTTTCCGGGTCAACAAATTATGAAATATGATACTCAATGCTGGCATCTGATGTGTCAATAACTGCAAAACTAAGACACAGATAACCTTTGCAAACTTTCAAGCTGCGTAATATTCTGATGTTGGTTTTTCCTTTGTATATATACTTAAATCATGTAGGATGTTGTAAAATCAGTATGACCTTGTCTAGTCTTCAAACTTAAAATAAACTTTTGAAAATCTGGAATACTTTTGAAGCAGTTGTAATTAAACACATTTGTAAGAACACACAATCTGTCTGAATGTGAATGCCCACTTTTCTTGACTATATGCTTGGGTTTTTTTGTCTCTCTTTTTACAGGACCACTGAACAGGTACTGAATGGATGAAACTCACAATAGCTAACTCGGTCTTTCTAAAATGTTTAAAATGTGTGCAGTCCTCCTGTCCCTCTTCATTGCAGAAATTCTGCTAGAACATTAACAATTCAAAGTCATCTTTTTGCCTCATGTATATTTAGAAGTGTGCTCCAGGACTCATCTGCCCGTTGTTAATCAGATGGTACTGCTATTGTTGCCTGTGTTTTTTCAGCTCATGATGCTCCAGAGTGTAATGAAGAGATCCAGTCTGTAGTAAGCAATAACACAACACTAATAACAGACTTACTGGTGTAACATCAGTTATCACCTAATGCTTGGCTTCTTCATAAACCTTGGTTTTAGCTCTCCAGAAGTCACTAGTGAAATTTTAAGTCTATATACTCCACATTTTTATGTTTTCTTAGAATGCAAGAAATTTAGGAAAAAACTCAGAATAGAAAATGCTGATTCTTTATGTGAGTTTTGGTGTATATCTGAGAACTTTCACTACTAACTTACTGTATGTGTTTATGTATTCATACTCATTCTCATTTAACTGCATCTTCATGTGAATGGTTTAGTGGGATTTCATTGTTGGCTTAATTGTTGCACATACACACACACAACATACATAGATGTACTTTTATTAAAGAAAAGCAACTATATCTTTTCAATAAGGCAAAGAAAGAATCATGACAATATCTATATAGGGGAAAAATTCATTGTTACTTATAGCAGAATAATTATTCAAAACAAAATTTTCAGCTGTGACCCTTTGTAAAATTACTTATTCCGGATGCAAAACATAATAAAAGCTTTTGAATTCCAAGAAGAGAACTCTGAAGGCTGAGGTTTATTTTTTAAAAATGTATGAAGAATAATGTTGCCAGGGTCCAGACAGGGTGCAGTGGTAAAATGACATATAACGTGAGGTAATCCCATATGGGAATGTTGCCAGTTCAAGTCTAGAGACCTACCTGAGCATGCTGGGTAAATGTGTGCTCATGAGCTGGGGCTGGCTGAAAGCTGGGGATGAATCATGGCATCAGGACCCTGTCGACAGTACTCTCTCTCTCTTTCTTCCTCTCTTTGTGTCTCTCTCATTCATGGAAGTAATAAATACGCTTTAAAGAAAAAAGAATTTTATGAATGGAGAAAGTATTCTCTTTACATAGTCTATCATTTTAAAATATGCACTACTTCAGCTTTGATTACATCACTTAAAAGATTATGGTAAGGAAACGGTAATTTTTTTAAGAGTGATTTTTGCACTCACGAGAGAGACAGAGAGAGACAGAGAGACAGAAGGCGAGACATCACCCCATAGCGGGATGGTCATGCTGAAACCCCTCCTCCTCCATTCTCCTCTCAGGATTTTGGGCATCACACACATATACCAGGTGTGAGTTGAA